ACACATAGATCTGCCATATGATCCAGCAATCTCACCCCTAGGAATATACCCAAAAGAATGCGACTCAGGTTATTCCAGAGGCAACTGCATACCCATGTTTATTGCAGCGCTACTCACAATAGCTAAGTTACGGAAACAGCCAAGATGCACCCCCTCCTGATGAATGGATTAAGAAAATGTGGTATTTATACACAATGGAATTTTACTCAGCCATATAGAAGGACGAAGTCTTATCATTTGCAAGTAAAAGGATGGAATTGGAGAATATCATCTTGTGCGATGTTAGCCAGGCTCAGAAGACCAAAAATCGTATGTTCTCCTTTATGCGGACTTTAGATCTAGGGCAAATGCAGTAATGTTGCTGGACTTGGGTCACACACCAAGGGGAGAGCACATACTGGAGGACTGGGGATAGGTAGGAAACCCAAAACTTTAAAGTGTTTGATGTTCCCACTGCAAAAGACCTAATACAGTAACCTTAAAATGACAGAAGTCAATCTGGGCAGGTGACCAGAAAGTAGTGAAGAGGTCAGGTAGAGATGAATCAATTCGGATTGTAATACTTGTGCAAAGAAGCAATGCTAGGAATCTCTCTGTATAGCTATCCTTATGTCAACTAGCAAAAACGCTTTGTCTTTCTTATTATTGCTATGTCTTCTCTTCAACAACATTGGAGAAGAAGGCAGAACAAGTTTGTTTGGAAGCAAGGGGGGTTGGGGGGAGGGGGAGAGGGAGGGGAAGGGGCCAGGGGAAGAATGGCCCAACAATGTATGCACAAATGAATGAATAAAAAAATTCCTAGCTCTAAATATGCATTTCTGGAGCCAAGCATGGTGGTGCATCCATAATCCCAGCACTGGGGAGGCTGAGGCAGGAGGATCTCAAGTTCAAGGCCAGCCTGGACAGCATGGGGAGACCATGTCTCCAAAAAACATGCATTTTTGGAAATACAATTATAAGAAGCAAATGATCTTAGAATTTCTGTATCAGGTCTCCCACGGTCGTGTAGTAATATTAAAGTCACATTTTACATTCAAAAAAAAAAAAGGAAAGGGGGTTGTACTGAGGAACACAGAGAGATGCTGTCCTGGAACTCTGGGAAAGTAAGATTGGTTGGCATGTTAACATGGATTTCTACAGTGCAGTAAAGGATGCTTTGCTCATCTTCTAGGAAGTGAAGAGAGTTCTGATATGATAGGCAGTTAAGAGAGCAATAAAGACAAAACATCCTTTTTGTTTGAATTCGCAACAAATTTTGTCAAGCTCACACATTTTACATACACACAAAAGTAAATAAAAGCAGAAACTTGTGGAGGTTTTTTTTTTTTTTTTGTGGTACTAGGGTTTGAACTCAAGACCTGCACCTTGAGCCACTCCACCAAGCCCTTATGTGATGGCTTAATGGAGACAGGGTCTCAAGAACTATTCGCCTAGGCTGGCCTCAAACCTCGATCCTCCTGATCTCTGCCTCCTCATTAGCTAGGATTACAGATGTGAGCCACAGGTGCCTGGCTGTGGAGAAGATTTCTTAAAGAAAAAGCAACATAAAATGACATGGGATTTTGCATTCAAGTAGAACTCCAAGCTTCCACACTTATTATCATGAACCTTCAGCAAGTCTTAATCTTCTAAGTTTGAGTTTCTTCATCTAAGAAACCTGGCACTTCTCTGTGGGGCAACGCACGTGGAAAGCAGGCTCTGCCCCGCAAATGCTCTTCTATTACTGAATTCAACACTTCATTCCAGTGAACTAGAATTCCTTACTTCAACCCGCCTCGGCCTGGGGGTGCAGCTCAAGTGGTGCAGTGCTTGCCTAGCAAGCAGGAGGCCCTGGGTTCAAATCCCAGCGCGCGCACACTAGCTACGTGAGCCCACCTTCACCGGGGCGGTCTGAAACAGCTGCTGCCCTCGCACGCCCTTGGGGCTCCTTGGGCATCCCGTGCTGAGTAAAACTTGATGGCGTAGATCCCAGGCCCGGCCACAGCAGCGTTTGGGAAGACCCGGACTGAATAGCGAGGCCAACTGGGAGAATGCTGTGCACAGGGAACGCGGCGGGGTGACCCACGACAGGTGAGTGCACGCCGGGGACAAAACTGCACCTCCGCTCCTGTTCCCCAGGCCCCCACCACCGGGCAACTCAGAGCCTTCTCACTACGTCAGCGAGTTTTCCTTGCTGACAGGCACCCCTCGGGGTCTCCGTAACGTCTGCGGGGCTGGCCGGCTGCTGGGGACCCTCTAGAGCTCAGAGTCCCGTCAGCGGAGGCTCGGGGGTGACTTGCTAAGACAGGACCCCAGACCCCCAGTCAGCGGGTGAGCGGCTTCCTCCACTCCTCCCCCACCCTGGCCCCGACTCACACGCAAGGCCTGGGCCGTGGGTCCGGGGCTCAGCTCCCACACCAGCAAGGTTTTGTGACTCTCGATGGGAACCGCAAACCACACCAACGCTGCCAGGCGACAGCCACAGCACCCGCACCGCTGAGGCGCAAGCAGTGCTGCGCCTGCGCAAAGCGCGCCTGCGACTATTTAACTAGAGCGCGGGAGGCGGGGCCGGCAGCGTCAGAGGGCGGGGCCAGGATGACGGACGGGGGCGGGGCGACCTCGGACCCCCCCTCCCACATCTCGGAATTTCATTCCTTTACCCTGTCACCACAGCACTCCAATGCCATAGACTCTGGTACTTCTATTCAACCATATTCTTAGAGTCGTCCTAAGGGTGGGTTTTCCAGATTGAGAGTATGGACATCTTTACAGCTGCTGGCTTCATCTTCACCTCCAGAGACTTAGGTACTAGTAGTTAACACTACCTATTCTCCTTGTGGAATGACCTTTAAAGATGCACTCCTCTGAGTTAAAGAATGTTTTCCAGAGTTTTGAATATAGAAGTCAAAGTAGAAATCAGCCAATAGAAGTCCAGCATGAACACTTATCATGAAAGAGAATTCCCTGGTTGTCCTGGTGATTCTGGTGGCTTACATGCGCTTGTGGGGATCATATGATATGGGAAGGTGGACACAGGGCAGGAAGGAGAGATCGATTTGGAAAGGAATCAGACTAGGTCCAAACACGGCACTTATAGAGGAGCTGATGGTGCCTGAGAAGCAGTGTGCCTGGTGTCATAACCAGCTGCTTGTTTGAGTAACACTGAGAGGGAAAGTGAGTCTTCTATTTAGTTATTTGTTTATTTATTTATTTGATATTTATTTAGGGGGGTACTGGAGTTTGAACCTATGCCATGTGCTTGCTAGGTAATCACCTACCACTTGAGCCTCACCCCTAGTCCTAATCCTGTTATTTGAATACTAGGATGTCAGAGCCAGAAAGGACCTTGCAAAACAGATCTTCTGGGGTTTCTAAATAACAGGATTGGCAGATGTTAGAGTGGCTCAAGTGGTAGAGGGCCTGCCTAGCAAGGGTGAAGACCTGAGTTCAAAGCTCCATACTGCCAAAAAAGAAATAAATATTAGGATCAGATCTATGCTGGTCTATGAACAAGTATTGACTATCCTCAGCAAAGAGTAGTAAATGTAATGTTTTAAATTTCCTACATAAAATGTATTTTATTCTACTTTCCTACATGTATGACTTCCCCACATTTTTGATGCTTAAGAATGGTTTATGAAGAGATGCTGAAATTGAGAATGATTTTTGTAACACTTTTACTTAAAATAAAAATTGGAAACTTTGTGGGTTTTTTTGGCATTTAATTGATATGTGAAATATAAGTCTGGAAACCACTGACTCATCAAATCTCTTGCCTTATAGCTGATGCAGTTAAGGCTCAGAGGTAGAGGGCTATGTGACCTCAGGTAACACCCCATTTTGGTCACACTACCACCAGCAGCTGTATGCAGGACATTCCTCCAACTGTCCTTTTCTACCTTTGTCTTGTCCTTAAGCGTGTTCTACTTCACATCAGCACCCTCTAAACCAGTTGGATCCTACCCAGTGAAGCCTTTTTTTTTTTTTTTTTATCATCTACGTTCTAGGGCTGGGGGCATGACTCAAGTGGTAGAGGGGCCTTGGGATGGGCCTCTAGTACAGCCAAAAAAAAAAAAAAAACCATATAGGACAAAACTACTTTTCACAAAATAAAAGCAACCAAAAATGATTGGCTCCTTGTACCATTTTTCCATCCCAAAGCACTACACCTCCCCCTCAGTACCAGACTCAGCCTCATCCACTGCCCCCCCTTTTTAAACAGTTTTGTGGTTCAAAACCAAACACCCTACCACCTACCTACATCACCAACTCCATTATCTACTTCTCAGTTTTTCCTTGTCTCTGGGGGAATTACTAGATCTTGATACTGCTTCTAACTAATAATTATAACTTTTTTTTGTAAGTACTGGAGTTTGAACTCAGGACCTCTGCTTATTTGGCAGTTGCTTTGCCACTTGAGCCACTCCACGAGTCCTTTTTTATGTTGGGTAGTTTCAAGTAGGGTCTCTCAACCTCTTTGCCCAGGGCTGGCTTTGATCCTTCATCTTCCTGATACCTGTCCTGAGTAGCTAGTGTTATAGGTGTAAGCCACCAGCACTCAGCAATAATTGTAAAGTTTATTATACCTTTCATTGTGTATTGCAATATCTGTGGGGGTCTCTTCTCTACCTTGGTTATGAACACCTGAAGAGAAATAGTGTGTTTTGTCTTCCTTCTGCTACCTAGCACACACCTACTGTAGTGGTACTCAAATTTATGTGGAATTAATAATGATTAAATTAATATATTATTTTCATAAGGATGCTTTAATAAATCATAAAAACATATAGATATTTATTGATTGGGGTCCTCTTGGTTCACTAATGACAATCAGGAATGAGGTTATTGAGCCTTGTTGGACACAGGGGAGGAAGTATAAAAAGGCATTTATTTTTGGGACTCTGGTCAGTTTTATTAGTAAATGGAAAGAGAAGAAATTAACATAAAGTAGAAGCAAGACACTGATTTAGTGAAGAATCTCCAAGTCCTGGAATAGCTCCTCAATGGGCCAGCACATTCTTTCATCCCAACTGACAGCCTGTCATCCAGTAGGAGAGTGTCCGTCCTAAACAGTGCAACTTCCATTTTGCCCTGTGGAGAAAAAACACATGGTTCTTGCTTTCAACTCAGCAGTTTTTTCTCCAGCCACCAGACCAGTTCCTGGGAAGTCTTCTCTGTAGAACAACGCCAAGAATCCCCTTCATCACTAGCTCTCTGGCCTGTCCTCTAGGTCCCTCTGGTTCTTTGTTTAAATTTTCCTCATTGCCACATTTTAAAATCCTTATCTCCCTCTGACAGTGGACAGCACTGTTTTACAGGAGTGAAAGTAATTTTTAAAAAATCCCAGGGGCAACCACTGACTCTTCAGAAAAGATCAGCCCTGATAACCACCTTGTCACTTCCCAGATGGTGTTTTGAGTCTACAAGGCATCCAGCTCCTTCCACACTCACAGCTGCCTGTAGAGGCAGTCATATTGTTCTGATTTGAAGCACAGAAAAGGTAAGTGGCCATCCGAGCGTCCACTGGTGAGAAGCTGAAAGCTTTCACGGTGTCTGCCCAGGGAATCTGCACCACACTTGAAATTATGAGAGAGCCCCTGGGGCAGCCATGAGTTCATTGCTTCACTTCTACCACACCTACAGCTGATTGGATAGGGGAAACATGGTCCAAGCTGGACCTATCAGATTCTCTAGCTCAGGATCTTGGACTAGGACTGAGCCTCCTCATTCTCTATGGTTGCTGAGGACTTTAGCTCATAAATTTGGGGGCATGTATTCTGTTCTCTGAACTGGGGAGCAGAGGAAGCTGGTTTGCAGAGACCAGAGTGGCACGAATGCACCATGGAACCTGCCATGGAAGGCTTTTGAGAAATTCTAGCCTGATTCCATGCTTATGCTGAGGCCCAGCTGCATCCCTTCAGTGGACTGAGTGAAATGCCTCTTCCTCCACTAAAATAAATTTTCCTCAGCTAGCTCAACTTGTTTTCTGTTACTGCAATCAAGAGATTTTGTTCAATACAATTTCAGAGAAAGAACCAAAGCCTTTCTCTGAAAGAGAAAGAACTCAAAAGAGAAAGAACTCAAGCTTTTCCACTATCCCACATTTTTCTAGACTGCTACAATGATGTATCCATGAGGCCATGTCTACTGCCCCTTTCTCTGTCACAGTTTCCTTAGTCCCACTGTGTCCTCCTCACCAGTTCTTCATTCCCCCTAATCCAGTAACAATCTTCTTTGCACATTTGATGGCTGAGATAAGCCTGGGGTCCAGTATATCTGAAAGGGAGGAAGGAGAGCACCTGTGACATATAGAGGATGATGCCAAAGACAAGGAAGATCCTGCCTCTACCTGCACAAGAGCTGTGACCCAGGGCCTGAGCACTTCCACATAAACAAGGCCTCCCTCTCAGGAGACCATTTAGACACTCTGACAATGGTTCCTGGACACTGGGGGTGGCCAGGGTGGAGGCAGGACCACTGAGATTTGGGCCTGCCCACTACTATTCTTCCAGGCCAGCATAGATGGTGGTTCACCCAAAGTTTGCAGGGCTTCTAGGGAGAGGAAATGCCAAAACAGCTAGCCCAGAAACCAAGGTAGGGTCCTGCCTAATGAGGGGAGCTCTTTAGATGAGAAACCAGGTACATTAGTCAGAGTAGGAAAGAGGAGCTAAAGGGCAGAGTCACAGGTCCTGTCAAACCTCTGGATCAGCTCTGTGGTCAAGAATTCGCACTTAGCCTTAGGCCAGACCATTAGCCTGTGTACTACTGAATAGTTAGATCTGAGCTTTTAAGGCAACAAGTTACATTTGGTTCTCTCTCTCTCTCTCTCTCTCTCTCTCTCTCTCTTCCCTTCCCTCCACAACTATTTCTCTCTCTTTGGTACTGGGTCTTCCTGTGGTGTTTCCAGTGCTGGCCTTGAACTACTGGACTCAGGCAATCCTCCTACTTCGGCCTCAGAAGTGTATGGTACTACAGACATCAACACCATGCCTGGCTCAGTTCTCTTTGAACCTCAGTTTGCTCATCTTCTCAAAATATCTGAAGTAACTCCTGACTTGAATGGACATTAGAGCCACTAGGTCAAATGTCCGTTCAGTCAAGGGAATCCCTGACTCTTTGAACAGCTCCAGGAGGGAATGCCCAGGATGTGGGTTGGAAGTGACATCATGTGAGAAGAGCCTGGTGTCCTCTCCCACCTCTCCCACCCTAGCCAAACCTCGACAGTCCATGTGGCAGAAGTTTTCCGAGTGACTCTGGTAGTCGTTACACCAGTAATGACTGTTGATCTGGAAGATGCCATAATCAAAGCTGCCATCTGCGTTTTCATGTACCTTTGATATGTTGAAGTTGCTTTCCACGAAAGCCAGGCACAGCCCTTAGAGCAGAAGTAGAGGGTCAAGATTTAGGGAGGACCAAGTTGAGTGAGAAATGAGATGGCAGAGAAAGGGAGGGAAGGAATATGAAGGGAGGAATAGGCTCAAGAGGCTTGATAGGGCTACAGGGCTAGAAACACCCATGGGCTTCACCTGAAGCCCACTCACAACTTCCATCTGTTCATGCTTGCTTTCTGCACTTATTGAGCAGGACCTATACAAAGCCCCAATAAGTGACTTTCAACTGGGTCAAATACAGCTGTCACTTCAAAGTCTATAGGACAAGAACGAGGATATGTATGTTGAAAATTGAAAGGCAGGATAAAAGGAGAAGGTGTCATAAGACAGGTGTGCATGAATTCCAGGCCAAAGGGAGAGCTCCTTTGCATACAGGAGGATGAAGGCTGTGAATATTCTTCCTCCAGACCTTTGGGTGACCAGGTTGGTCATTTCATTCAGCACTTCTCAATGTAACTGCCTTAAGAGTTCTTCCCTGACTTCCCCATCTAGAACAGTGTCACCTGTCACTACCCCTCATTCCTTCTTCTTCATGCATTGTTCCCACCAGGAAGTACTTTATATTTTTGTGTGGTTGTGTATGTGTGTGTGTGGTGTTGTTGGTGTTGCGGCCCCCTCCCCTTGATATGAACACTATTACAAAGGAACTATATTCTCAGAGGCTAAAACAATTCTTGGTGCATAATAGTGCTCAGTTAGTGATTGTTGGATGACTACTGAGTGTTGGAAAGGTTTCTTGAGGGTAGGTATCCTTTTAAACTTGGCTTTGAAAGAGGAATGGTGAGAAAGAAGGAGGGGCCTGGGCATGAGTAGGAAAGGAGGAGAAAGGAGAGGGGCGGAGGAGATGGCACTCACAGTCATTCAGGGAGTAGCCTTCAAACCCATCCAAATCTTCCTGGTGGAGTATCTTGGCCAATTCACAGCGACTGATGGTCATGTCTCCATTAGAAACAAGGAGGCAGCTGGCCACAAAGAACAGCAACACTGTGTTCATACTCGGAGGGGAGAGGGTGCCCAGCAGGGCCTGCGGGTTCTGTCTCACAGATTTTCTGCTGGTCTTCTCTGAAAGCCTGGGGGGTCTGTAGAGAGAAGCCAAATGTCCTTTCTCACTCACCACCTGAGGAGTCCTGTGTCTTTCCTCTCATTTATTATTTTACTAATACTTCTGATCACAAAAGATTAACATTTACAAATAGAAGAAAGTACTCTCATGAACTTCCATATACCCGTTTCCCAGCTTCAACAGTTAAAAACCAAGGCTAATCTGGTTCCCTTGTGGGTTCTCTTGTAATTGGCCCAGATACAGGTAGCACTGGGGTACTCGGTTGGGGAGTAAGGTTGGCAGACAGATTAGTGACAACTGCCTCAACGACATTTGTACATATATATTTGAACAAGTGTTTTTAGATGGGCTAGACACTGGGTATTGATCGCCCCCAGTCTCATCCCAGACTCATAGTTGACCTTCCCTGTGGTCACATACCCTGCCTTAGTTGGCTGGTTGTAGGTTCTCTCATTTTTTTCCATTCAAAAGGGCATATCAGAAAGCAAGTAAGAGTGACCCAGACGTAGAAATAACCTTCACTGTCACTGTCACACTGTGTGTGCATGCATGTGTATGTGAAGATCTATGGCTCCAGATTCAACTGCTTGCTGTCAAAGGCTGGACTATGATGTAACCATGGAGAGCGTACTTAAACTTTCTGGGCTTTGTCTATACAATGAAGATATGGTAATAAATTCCTAATGGTGTGATGCAAAGATTAAAAGAAATCACAAGGCACAAATCTTGGTTTCACATTCCCTCCAAAATGGAACCAGGACTCCTGGGAATATGAATGATTGCTGGGCAAGAGGAGGAAAAGGTATAAAATTATTCTGGGTTATCTTCTTGTAGCAGAAATTGAGGAAGTGCTCAAAGTATGGATCAGGCCAAGTCATATTGACATAAGAGCTGCTCAAGAGAGCATTCAACGGCTAAATGTGGAAAAACATTTTTCCTATGAGATGTATTGAGATCTAGTGCACAATATATAATTCACATTAATTAACTTATTCAAAGTGTCCAGTTCAATAGTTTTTAGTTTATTTGAAGAGTTGTGCAGCAAGTCAATTTTAGAACATTCTCTGCAACCCAAAATAAACCCCACACCCATTAACATTGTGTAAGCATCCTAAACTGGTGTGAGTGAGAATCCTCACTGGGGCAGTCGAGCTGGTGGATGAAGAACTGGATGTGTACTTGGTCTTAGAGTCTCCTACAATTGCTTAGTTATTCCCTGAGGAAAACGGTAGCTATACTGTGGAAAAAACAGACTGTGTTTTGATCTTGCAATTAGAAATAACATTGTCAGTGAGGGACAAAGGGACACTGTGTGGCTGTAGACATGATACCCTGAGAAGGGCAACAGCATTCCTTATGTGTGACATTAGCCTGTGCCTAATCCAGAAGAAACAGCCAAACAGAAGGAACATCTATAAAATAACAGTCTGTGCTCTTTAAAGTGGTCAATGGCATGAAAACAGAGACTGGGACTGTTTCTGTCACAGGGTATGTGTCTTTCCCCTTAAACCAGGTGTGTGGTACTGAGGGATAAGGCCTGGGTTTCCGTGCCAGCCCCTAGGTGTCTGTCCAGCAGCTTCTGTGGGGACAAGATGGCCTCACAGGTGGGCATGCTTACTTGTGGTCTCTTGTCTTCTCAACTGGGGAACATTCTTTTGTTGCTCTCTGCCTCCCACCTAAGATATGACAGATTTAGCAAATAAAATGATAGGATTCCCAGTTTAATTAGAATTTCAGGCAAACAGCAAATAGCTGTTTAGTGTGTAGATGCCTCTGGCAACCTCCCCATCCTCACTCTGGAGGCTCTCTGAGCCTCCGGAAGCAGGCAGTTCTGGCTCTGCCCACAGATCCCCCCCTTGGTCCTCCTCAGATAAGACAGTGACCCCAGCATGTGATCCCACCTTCTTCCGAGGCTTATCTCTTTCCTATCCCTCTCTGGGCTCAGCTGGCCCTGGCCTTCTATGAGGATCTGTAGAGCCAGGTGTCCTATTCCTCAACAGTCACACTCCAACTCTGCTTAAGTAACCCCTTTCCTTTATCTGAAGAAGGCAGAAGTGTGGGCCACCAAAGCCTTCTGGAACCTCTGTTCTGTGACATCATCACTCTCCTAGAAATACACTGGTTTGAACTACGCAAATTGGATCAAGCTTCAGGCAGAAAGGACAAATGGGCCTGGAAGGTGAGGTGACAAGTGTAGAAGAGAACACTTGGCAGAATGAGGCCTGCCAACTCCCTTCCTTCTGGAAACAAGACCAACTTAGGGAAACTCCTTCCCCCACAGGAAGGAGTGGGAGCTGTAAGTCACAGGGCCCTGCCTCAGATGACAGGGGATGTGTGTGTCCCATCCTCATGGGCAATGTACACAGGAGAGGGCTGCTCCATGAAGAGTGAACAGAATCTTGCCTGGGTTCCAGTCCCAGTCCACCCTCTCAAGGACCCCCACACCTTTCCCTTCCTGCAGACTCACTAAATGTCCCTTCTGGCATAAAATTTGAGTTCAGTTTCTGTCACATGTCACCAAACGAGACCTGCCCATTAGTCAGCACTGGGTTAACAATCTGCAGAATGATGACGTGACAACCTGTCACCTGCCCATGAAGGTGAAAATGTCTCTATGTCATTGGTCACAAAGTATGAGAAATTTCTGTAGCAAAAACAAAGTGAGAAAAAAAAAGTTTTGTCACAGAGGGTCACTCTACCTTGGAAACAGAATGGGTGACTGAGTTACAAGGGTCTCTCAGCAGCAGTGCTTGTGCCTGCCTCTCAACATCTCTTGACTTCTCTGTCCAGCAGGGCAACAGCACACAGCATCCTGGGTGGACCAAGCAGGAGCAGGGATGGAGGCAGACACTGGAAGGAAGGTATCCTTGAGGTACTCTTCTATGAGGTACCATTTCTACAGGTGCCTCAGATGACCGGAAAAACTCATCTCTATAGGGTTAGAGCCTCGTGCAGGAGGGGTGGCTTGCGTAGCTCAGGATTGCTGCTAACCTATCCACTGGAAACCCTCAAGGGAATGATGTCCGTACTAGGAGGGGAACCACAAGGCCATCCAGCTGCAGGCCCACAGTCATGACAAACCCGAGCTCTGGAAGGATTCCAATCCATTCAAAGAACTGGAAAACCCAAGCTGGGGCCATGGAATAAAGTCTGGATGTGTGACTTGGCAAACAGGGCAAACGGAGGCCCCAGGTCATCTTTCTAAATACCAAAAAGATTTAAATCAAACTAATGAGTTCTTAAATAAAATACCTTCTATTCTTAATCCCTCTAAAAGGTTAATGTGTTTAAATGTTCAACAAGCTATGTTTGTATACGACAGAATGCCAGCAAAATGTCAAAGATGACTGAATTTAATTCTTTTTTTTTTTTTCTGAGACAGGGTTCACTATGTAGTCCAGGCTGGCCTCGAATTCGTTATCCTCCTGTCTCAGCTCCCTGAGCTTTGGAATTACAGGCATGTACCACCAGGCCCACCTTGAATTTAATTATTATTGTTTATGTCTGAGTTATTTGTCAATGAGCTGTCCATGTTGGGAGGATTAATCAAATAAAGATATACATTCAGAGTATCCCGTGAAATTTATTTTCTCTTCTTTTCAGCAAAATCATTATGTTGTTATTATCAAGATTTTAGCACTGGGGAATTTTAACCAGTAGAGCACGTGCCTAGCATACAAGAGACCATTAGTTCCATCTCCAGCACCATCAGAAAAAGTAAAAAAAAAAAAAGACAAAAATTACATTGAAGGATTATAACAATCATATTCAGAATATTAAAAATTTAATGTATTTTCATCAAAATATGTTTATGTAAATATTTTACTAACTTTTTCAGAGATGTTTTCCCAAAAGCTCATTTTCTTTTTAAAATTTAAAAAGTATCTGTGAGTGCTGGCTCAAGTGGTGAAGCACCCAGGTGGAAGGCCCTGAGTTCAACAGCCAGTGCCATGCACCCACACAGACAGATACATAGGAAATTAATGGATATAAACTTTTAAAAAAAATTTTATTTTATTCATATGTGCATACAATGTTTGGGTCATTTCTCCCCCCTTCTCCCACTCCCTCCTTTACTCCCCTGCCCCCTCCCTATCCCCTCCACCCCCTCACTACCAGGCAGAAACTATTTTGCCCTTATCTCTAACTTTGTTGAAGAGAGAGTATAAGCAATAATAGGAAGGACCAAGGGTTTTTGCTAGTTGAGATAAGGATAGCTATACAGGGAGTTGACTCTCATTGCTTTCCTGTGCATGTGTGTTACCTTCTAAGTTAATTCTTCTTGAACTAACCTTTTCTCTAGTTCCTGGTCCCCTTCTCCTATTGGCCTCAGTTGCTTTAAACTATTTGCTTTAGTTTCTCTGTGTTGAGGGCAACAAATGTTATCTAGTTTTTTAGGTGTCTTACCTATCCTCACACCTCCCTTGTGTGCTCTCGCTCTATCATGTGATCAAAGTCCAATCCCCTTGTTGTGTTTGCCCTTGATCTAATGTCCACATATGACGGAGAACATACGATTTTTGGTCTTTTGGGCCAGGCTAACCTCACTCAGCATAATGTTCTCCAATTCCATCTATTTACCAGCAAATGATAACATTTCGTTCTTCTTCATGGCTGCATAAAATTCCATTGTGTATAAATACCATATTTTCTTAATCCATTTGTCAGTAGTGGGGCATCTTGGCTGTTTCCATAACTTGGCTATTGTGAATAGTGCTGCAATAAACATGGGTGTGCAGGTGCCTCTGGAGTAACCTGTGTCACAGTCTTTTGGGTATATCCCCAAGAGTGGTATTGCTGGATCATATGGTAGATCAATGTTTAGATTTTTAAGTAGCCTCCAAATTTTTTTCTGGAGTGGTTGTACTAGTTTACATTCCCACCAGCAGTTTAAGAGGGTTCCTTTTTCCCCGCATCCTCGCCAACACCTG